AGGGAAAAATAAAGAGAGAGAGAAAGAGAGAGAAAAGCTTTACAAAGTACCCTATAAAGTAACGACCTGGAGAGAAAAACTTGAAAGTCTGAAAGGATATTCTGGATGCTCGCCACGAGTAATTGTCTTGTTGGGACTGTTAACTAAAATAGCATTGTAGAGATATTTAACCAATTTTCATAAAAACTATTATGGCATTATTTTCAAAGCAAGTAACTACAGAGACATGTGGCCCGTCGGTAAATGCTCAAATGATTAACTGAAAATGTGGAGGTGGGCGGAGGCACATGAAGTTGAGAAAAACAAAATTCAGAAAAGGATGTTTTTGTCTTTTGAAAGCTAAGAGTGCTTTGGTCTCCAGAATGATGTTCCGTGCAACAGTGCTGGGACCCACACCCCAGAGAGAAGGGAGAAACGGCTTCAGCTGTTCCAGCCGTTATTTTTGGACATGCTTGGAGTAAAGTTTTTAAGTTCAGGTTTCCTTAGAGGTAAGTGTTGGCACAGGCCAAGAGTAAGTTGCAAAGCCAATTAGTATTGGTTAGAGCTATCCTGGCTGAAGAGATGGCACACCCTCCTGCCTTTCTGCCTTTCCCATCCCTGGCGGGAATTGTTGGATAACAGACCAAGGCCTGTGGGGTTGAAGGACAGGTTTGAAAATGGAACTGCCAGATGACCAGTGGGAACCAGGGAGGGAACGGGCTATGTTAGCCCTAGATGAGGTCTGGTAAGATTTGTCGTTGACACCTTTCCTGTGAGACTGGTTGTGAAACTAACAAATTGGGATAAAAATGGTAAGAAAATAACTGAACCTGAGCAGCTAGACCAAAGAACTTCAGCAAACCCTCCTTCTGGATGCTGACTTCTGGATCCACTGCAGTATTCTTCGGAAGTCCATCTCCAGCAACTCCACTCGTGCTGCTGGAGGCCTTTGTTATGATTCCCACCACTGCCACCACCAGCAGAGCCGCCGCTGCCACAGCCCTCACCACCAACACCGTTATCGCCATGACTTCCTCCTCCATCACGGCTCCCATCAGTCTCAACACCATCAACCCTGCTACCAACAGCAGCGTACCTCCCTTTCACAGCCTCTCCCACCTCCTCACTTGTGCCATCCTCTACTACCACCTCATCACTGCCCTCATCACCACCATCGGTGGGTGTGGGCAGGGCTGCCTGGCTGGCTGGACTCTATCACATAATCCGAGAATGGGAGGAGCAAAGTGGAAAAATCCGGTGTTCCTTCCAAAACCACTGAAATGAAGTGTGTCACAGGGCTATACTCAGCTACTGGCCATTTCTATTAAACACAAGCACTTTGATGGCTTCAAAAATAAAGATACATCCCAGCACTCAGGAGCGTACAGTGTAAGAAGGAATTTCAGGCCAACTTGGACTACATAGTAACACCCTGCCTGAAACAAAAATTAAAAAGCAAATGTGGCATGGTCTTGCACACATCTTATCCAGCACTTGGGAGGCGGAAGTAGGAGGGTCATGAGTTTAAAACCAGTGCGGGTTAAGACTCTATCTCAAACAAATGCACAGCAACTCTGACAGCCCTGTCATACAAACATAGGAGGACATGCTGGCCCTCAGTCAGTCTTCAGAGGTATGTGTCCACGTTGTAAAGGGCCCAGTCCTTACCATAACATCCCTATAAAAATGCCCAAATGCACCCACTGTCAGGATGCAGGATAGAGAAGGAATGGCAAGTGAGATGAGCGGAATTGTAGATGATCCAGGGAAAAGCCACTTGACTCCTCCGTGGCTGTCGCCTGCCCTGGATTCATGGAGAAATGCATAAGTGATACAGCCTGGAAGGATGAAGGAAAAAACCACATCTAAGGCCCGGCAACTTAAGACAGGCACTTCTCTCCTAATAATACAGAATTTCATTTAGTTTCTTTAAAATGCTTTAAACTCTGAGTCCAAATTGCTCCCCCAGAAAAAGTACAACGTTTTCCAGATCCAGCAAGTGACATTCTCTGCCTATCCCCCAAACGTGGTAATTCTCACCATGTGAAAGACATTCCCTGATTCAGAGTCAATGTGACCTTAATACATTAATCATTGATAATTTATGTAAAATAAGCATATGTACTAACATTTTCATGAATCAATAAGTGTTGGTTGTCTGAAAACAGAAGCAAGGGGAAAGCTTGCCTTTTACTGGCAGCTACTTAGAATACTTCTGTTTTAAGTTGGAGGAATTACAATGATCGGATTTACATTTTTGTAAGATTATATTTCAAAGCTAAATTTTCCATAAAGTTGAATGCTAACATTTATTCTGAAATTGAAACGATTCTTCCCCCTCCCCAAGGTAGAATCAATATAATCACATCAGGCCTGGACAAAAATAGTGTTAAGTTGTTCCACGAAGCATTTCCATTAAATGGTCAAAATCATCACTTGAACATTTTGAAAGACGTATGAGGTAGAGATTCCTTTTTATAGCGGATTCATTTCCCAAGAGAACTATTTTATATTTCTTAGGTAAAGGTTCATTTGGTGTTCCACGGGCCCGAGGTACAGACTCACACTTCTGCTGTAGAAGAGTCTTCCTCTCAGACGGGGCATGCCGGAGTGTTTAACGCATTAATTATCATCCTTCATCAAGCATAAAACTAATAGTCAGGAAATACAGCTGCAGTGGCACAATTACCAACACACTCAGAATACACCCCGAAGCAAAGAAAACAAATGGCCCGCTTTTCATTAGCGGAGCTTGGCAGTCCTCTCCTAAGACAGTGTTTTCTTTCCAGTCAAAATCCCAAAAGGCATGTAAGGGGCCATTTGCTTACGTAAACCTGGAGGACAAATTAACTGTGAAAACATTTATTTAAATCTCAGAATATCCACTATCAATAAAGAATGCCACTCTAAAATTATAGGTTTGAAATATTATTGGATGAAATAAAAATTTTATAAATACAGGTCATGTGCTTTAAAAGGATATTGGTGTAGGAGTCTAGATCTTCAAACAGCATCATCATACTTGAACAGGGCACACAGGGAATTAATGGGTTTCACTTTCATGTTTTGTGGCATACAATTTGGTACACAAATGTGTCTATCTATAAAAAATAATGACCTGTGTATAACAGGATTCTATTGTGTTCAATGGGAGTCCTTATAATTATCTATCAGCTTGAAATTCTTACATGTCATCCCTCAAAGCCTAGATGAACATCATTCTGGGGCGCTGATGGAAAAACAGCTAATTTGATGGGTTTTTGGGTAGCTATTCTTAATTTGGCTGTAACACCGCCAGACCTTAACAGATGTATTTATCCTACAAGATTATATTGCAAATAGGCTAGGCACTATTATTTAAACTATAATTTAAGGGAGGGTCAAGGGATAGAAAAGGCCAATAGTGAGCTGTCTGCCCCAAATATTTGTAATTATGTCCTAAAACGGAACCGTCAAATTTTAACTAAATTTTTTGCTTAGAGATCCTGTAACATAAGCAGCACAGTCCTTCGGAAGGATGAACAGTGTGGTATTACCACGGAGCCATATTTTCCTCAGCCCAGGAAGCCAGCAATATACCTCTGTTCTTCCATGCTTGCGGCACAACTTTAATGCCATGAGTTCATACTGTCATTTACATGCAGTAAACACAAACAAGATTTTTTTTTAAATTATATTTGAGGAAAAGGCCAATTCTTTTGTCTCATGGCCAATTTACGTTTCAAAAGACAGATAACCTTTGGTTACTGGATGCAAATTAAAACATGGGGGCTTGGAATGCATGTTACCAGTATTTTCCTCACATGCATGAGACCCTAGGTTCAATCCTTAACACTATAAAAAGGAAAATGAAAAAGCAACACTAACAACAGAACAATTACAATGCCCAAGAAGTGCCCCACGGAAGGGCAGCGTGATCTGCTCAGGCCAGGCTAAGAATTGTGGGCAGCATGAGCTGTAATTTTAACTGAGCTTTCTTGGGCAGGAAGGATACTCCTAAGCTGCTGAAAGCATCAGTAAATCACATGGAAGAAATGCAGATGCTTCCAACAGTAACGTTGCCAGTGTGACGGGGGCTGCTTGCTAACTGTGTGCACAACATCTGGCTGGCTGACAGGCATACAGACATACACTTACATCCTAGTGAGTATGGAGAGTTGACAGTGGAACAGTGCATATTCAAGGGGCATTCAGCATGCAGCATGTCAGAGAACACAAACAACTGAGCAAGGCTGGGAGGCGAGGGACTCCTCCATGGCCAGGTGTCCTTCTTTCAGGGAAGGTTTCTAGCTCAACATTTTTGTAGATTTGTAGTGACTTATAAACATTTAAAATCAGAGACACATTTTAAGGCCAAAAAAAAGGGGAGAGTTTTTTTTTAATGTTTTGATGTTTCGTTAGCAATACAGACCCATATAAATTGCCTTAAAAATTAGAAGTGAGCAATTTCAAGGTTTACTTTTGCTAGTTCTTGCCTGATAGTTTTCTTTCAAAGACACAACCCAATAAAACAAAGTACCCATTGTTTTCACCTATCAGTCCTCAAGTCCTTCTGGAATGAAAATCACTTTCTTATGCCGACGTGCACTCATCTCTCGTAATCATCGGACAGTAGACACAACCCGCTTTGAGACAAGAATCTTTGAGCCTAATGTAGCTCATTTAATTAGAAAATGTTACTATGATCATATGGAAAATTCCAATCCTATGTTGGAGGTACCTTCAGAATAAAGTAATATTTTTCAAAAGTAAGGGAGGAAAGAAGTAGGTCTTCTAAGACCAGCATATTCAGATTTAATAATTAAAAAGGTAGAACACCTTTATAGCATGTTCAAAGCCCTGAATTCCATCCCAGGTAATGGAAAAACAAAACTAAACTAAACTATACAGAAAGGCCTGGTCAGAGACATAGCTCTCTCTGATATGAGTCTGGAAATAGTGATACTACCATGGGTTTTCTTATAATACAAATACAATTGCCTTTTCACAAGATTTCCTAGTGGTCCCTCTGGCTTTCATACCTTTAATGTTGTGAATTCGTATGGTTGGTAACCTTTGAAGCTCTCATGGATGGCTGCCATGGTGTGCGAGGTTTTTTCCCAAAAGTGGAGCAGAGTGGTCTATAAAGAAAGGTGGCAAAATCATTAATGTCTTGAATGTCCACTTCTGACCCTGGTCTTCAGAGAAGTGATCCAATCTATAGCTTTTCAGGTCATCTCAACTCTGATTTTCTCATCTTTACCTCTTTTTTTCCCAATGGTTCACTTACGCCTTGTCATGTCATTCAACTAAATTTCTCCCAGTGGTTAGGTTGTACTCATCACCTGGGCCCCTCACCTCCCCATCTTCTTTGCCCCATTCAGTCTACTCTCCAAAATCCAGGGCTACTCATTGCTCTCATTTTATGATGATTTGATTTCGTGGTAGGGGTGATATAGAGTCTCATGGTGTGGGCCTAGATGACACGGAACTTGCTTTGCAGAGCAGGCTGGCCCTGAACTCACAGAGATACACCTACCTCTGCCTCCTGAGTGCTAGGATTAAAGGCATGCACCACCATGACCCACTCACTTGAGTTCTTAAAAATATCTTTCTGGATAAAACATCTTTTCTAGAGGTTTGGGAAATATAGTAAAATTTTACTTCCTCTGTTTTCTTCCTAAACTTTGTATTCTTTGAGTTTAAGAAATTAGGCTATAGTGATCTTCACATTTCTTAAAACTCCCAGTATCTGCTATGTCACACTCAAGTTGGAGTCAACAGACTGAGGATAGACACAAAGTTACACTGAAGGAAACTCAATGTCAAAAACTCAAGCGACAACACATGCTGGAGAGGCTGTGAAGAAAGGGGAACCCTCCTCCACTGCTGGTGGGAATGTAAACTTGTACAACCACTTTGGAAATCAATATGGCACTTTTTCAGACAATCAGAAATAGTACTACCTCAAGATCCAGCTATACCACTCCTAGGCATATATCCAAAATATGCTCAAGTACACAACAAGGACGTTTGCTCAACCATGTTTGTAGCAGCTTTATTCGTGATAGCCAGAATCTAGAAACTACCAAGATGTCCCTTAACGGAGGAATGGATACAGAAATTGTGGTACGTTTACACAATGGAATACCACTCAGCAATTAAAAGCATGGGTGGGAAATTCTTAAGAAATTAAGATTAATTTTATTGTATAGGCAATGAACTGTTAAAGATACCTATTTTTCATTATTGAAAAAAATTCTTCAGTCTCATTTTACTGGCATTTGATCAAAGCTTGAAGATTTGAGACATACAGACAGACATACTTGAAGTCATAGTTTTGCCATCCTTGACCATCCTAATCACATTAGAAAATACTATCCTTAAGTGCTTATATTTCATTAAGCATTTAAACCCGCTTGGCAAATACTAAGCCACTGTTGCTAGAGTAAACACAGGGTTTTGGTTTTTTTGTGTGTGTGTTAGTTTTTTTGGGGTTTCTTGTTTGTTTGTTTGTTTTTTATTTAGTGCAAATCTTTAGTAATGGCATATTTTATCAGTCAATTGATGCAGAACCTTGTTTTCTATATGTATCTGTGTCAAGGCTCTTTTCTCTATCTGTGTTTTGATCTTTTGACATTGAGCTTTTCCCATAAGTCAAGCCCAAATGAAGGATTTCAAATGAAAATAAAAAAAAAAAAAAAAAAAAAAAAAAAAAAAAAAAAAAAAAAAAAAAAGAGAGACAAAACCAAGGGTACTGAATAATCACATCCTGAAACATGTAGGGTATTGTGCTAAAAGGGTCCAGAGCAGGATCTGGAAAGACACAGATGAAGAAGAAAGGCATTCAGGGCAGAGGACTCATAACACAAATGCAGGAAAATGGAAAATTCCACTGTGTGTACAGCACATAGTTGTGACTGTACTGTTGATTGAACTGCAGGGCTTTAAAAAGCAAAGACAAGGATGCATTTAGAATCCAGGACGCCCATTCAAACACAGGACTTCCCACTGTTCTAAGCCTCTGACAATTGTTTGTTCATTAAGACAAATATGACTTTGTTACCTGGTATGTTGCTAGCATGTGAGATAAGAGATTACATCTGCTTGCTCCAAGAAGATCCACCTTTTGACACACATCCATCTTCAATTTGTCAAAGTTTTTTTTCGCAAGGCGTACTTGTGTCTGTACCTACAAAAGTGAAAGCAAGTCTCTGAGACACTCAAACCTCTAAGAAGTTAAAATTTGCAGGCGAGGAAAGACCAGGAAAGGGCTGGTTAAAAGTCCAGACAAATGAGCAGATCTGACATCCATTCTTTACTTTCAAAAGACCTAGACAAGAATGTGGTGATCATGATTTTGTGACAGACTTACTATACAAATTATATGTTTTTGCAGAATAAGATTAATAACTCTGTTTCCTCAGGGCAATTACAAGCTAGTCACAGTGAGGTGAAGGCTGGAGAAGATGCATGCTCCAGAGCTTCCAGTCTTTGGAAGCTGAGTTCCCACACAACCCTCAAATGATTTTCCCTATCTTAGGGAACAGTTACTAAAACAGAGAAACTATCATTGGCACTATCCTATTTACTGATTTCTATACTTTCTTGGGGTTTCATTTCTTTTTTTCTACTAACATAATTCTACTGTTAAGGAGCCAGTTGAGGATTTATATCAAAGGATTTTGCCATGGCCTAAAATATTCCTACTGATAAATTTTCAATTTTTATTATTGAGTGATGAGCCACTCATGAACCACACTGTAATTCAAGGAAGGAGTGAAGGCCAGGAAAGTTTTGCACATGCTAACTCTATAGCTTATGTTGTAAGAGAGTTAAGTTTTCAAATTTAGAGGGCTACGGACATAGCTGAGTCAGCAAAGTACATAAGTAGCATTCATGAAGCCTGGGATTTCATTCCTGCCACTGCATAAGCTAGCTGCAGTAGCTCAACTCCTGTAATTCCAGCAATCTGGAAATGAAAGCAAAAGGATCAGAAGTTTCATATCATCTTTGGCTACAAAGCAAGTTTGAGGCCAGCTTGAGTTACATGAGACTGTCTAAATACATACATACATATATTTTAAGAATATAAAGTCAAAATTTCCCCTTCTTCTTATCCAAAGTACCACCATATGATATTTTGGATAGGAAAAGCCAGTCACTTAAAAAAAAAGTACATATTATTGAGGGTTTTTTTTTAATGTATAAAGGTCTATACATTTTTAATATATTTAACTTGATAAATTCAAATATTATTTTTAAAAACTCGAGTCATAGAAACTGGGCAGATGAGTATTAGAAGTAGTGCTAACTTATTGTTTATAGATTTTTCATTATAACACACAAGGCAGCATGGATGATGTCATTTTTATCCACTAGTATATCACCTGCTTGGTGCAAGGCAGGTACTGAATACATACTTGTTGACTGAATGAAGAACTTTCCCATGTCATTTTTAAATGTCCATAATTAAAGCCTTTAAAATAGTTTACAAATAGTGATTTTGTGGGCTGGCCAGATGGCTCAGTAAGTAAGGACACATACTACCCAGATTGTTGATAAGACCCTGGACCCCTCATAGAGGAACAAGAAAACCAACTCCCACAAGTTGTCCTTCCAATATTCACACAAGGACTATGGCATAGGTGTGTAAGTTCACTTCTTAAAAATGATTTTCATTTTCTCACAAAGGTAAATAAGTACATTATTTGATATAAATACAATTTTTTACTATCAATAATAACATTCACAGCTTACAAATTCATATGTAATTAGACAGAAATAGGAATAAGTGTACATATAACAATTGCTTTAATTTAATTACTACATACTGATATTCTACTTTAGTTGTTATAATGACTTTTCATTGTTGATGATGACTGAAGCCTTCATCAGGGCGAGGGTTGACTTAGGGTAGGGCTGGCTCTCTGGCTTAGTAGCCATGCTACTGTGCTCCTTCAAGCACCTTACCCTACTGTGTGGAAAAATCAAGAAGTTCAGACTTGGATTCTACATAGAATTACAAGTTTCCCTATAGGATTGCAGGGAACTGGAAAATAATGATGCTAAACATTTAATGCCCCACAACGAAAGTAACACTTACAAGAATAGAGGATGTATGAATGCATACATGTAGACAGCACACAAAATTTTCTAAGAATTCTTTTCAGTTTTCTATCTACAGTGCTGGTGAGAGCAGTGGACAATAGCTATCAGCTCCTTTTGGCCTGACCATACTCTGTGCATGAACACCTTGGAGACTGAATGAATGAAGACTCGAATTTCACCTCCCAGGAACTCTGACTATAAGAAGCTTAAGATGAGTGAAATATTATTAATGTTCTGCTTTCTTCTGAGAAGAGCAGAGAGATGGAAAAGAGAACATGAGCTTCTGGGGATAGGAAAAGAAGAGGAAATCCAGATGGACAGAATTTTAGCAGCTGAGATTTTTGCTGTAGACCATCAAGGGTCCGCATTACTCAGCCAGAAGAGCCTCTTCAACGAGGATCCCGAAAAACATCTGTCCTCAGCTTTTTCCTTTGAAAGGGGAAGAGACAAGTCTGGGGCATGAGTTTTTGTGCATGTGTTCATTCAATACGTGTTTGCAGAGCACTGGTGAGTCCTACGCTATGTTATGTATGGCAGGAAATATCTGTAAAGTAACAACACACACAACATATAGTCACTAAGTGTTTAAGAATGAGTGTACAAAAAAAATAAAAAAAAAGAATGAGTGTACATTGCTAGGAATATGCTAAGCTTCTGAGGAAGACAGAAAAATTAACAATTGTAATGCAAGTAAACTAGAATAAAATGAGAGTCAGAACAGCAAGCATAGACAAGGACATGATGAATGCTGCTGAGGTAAGGAGTCACTGTAAAATGATGGCATTTTTACTCCTGGGTGGTGGGGTCGCTGCAGCCCCAAGAAGTGCCCTTCCTGCCTCACCTTATACGCTGCCCTGTGACTTTATCGTCTCCCCTAACTCTGAAAGCAAGCTTGGCCATGTGATTTGGTGTTGGCCAATTGGCAGCTAACAGATGTAAGGAGCCTGGAAACCCGAAGAAGGGAGTGCCAGCATGTTTCCACTCTTCCTCCGCCTTCTCTGTGATAGCCGTGAGAACACACTCAGATGGGCCAGCTGGAGGGGTGTAAGCCACATGGCATTGAGAGACTTAGGGAGAGCCCAGCTATTTTTCACAGACATTTTTTGCCTTCCCTACCCTGTAGCTGACTACCAACCACTGTGTGAGTCTGCCCCACACCAGAAACACCCTGCTAACCATAGACTTGTTAGCAATAAAAAGATGTTTATTGTTGTCAGCCCTTGAATGCCATGGCGGTTTTATTTCACAGCATGATTATAACCACAGATTATTGATGTAAACAGTCAGGAAGCAGGCAATGAGGGCTTCTGGGAAGAGCAGATACCAGAGGTGGCTCTTAAAGCAAATCTAAGGTATGTAAAATGTAAGCCTTACTTATATGGAAGTTCTAGATTTTTCTAATGAGATGGAAAAATTGGAGAGTTCTCCCCCCTTGGGTGCATTTTGACTTTTCCTTTACATGATCACTTACTGACAGGTACTCACGTCCTGGGAAGCAAGGGCGTATGTCCTTTGCTCATAACATATAAGTTAGGAATTCATACAGTTTGAGACGCTCCTTAGATGATTTTTGAAGAGGAATTTTAGAAATGAAGAGGATTTCGATCTTGACCCAGTCAATTCTGAGAGGCCATATGCTTTGTGTGTCAACAATGATTATTAAAACACTTAAGGCACTGCTGAGTTTCCACATGCTGTGCCCTTCCCATGCCAAACAAGCAGGAGGTTACCCTGTTGGGCATTTGGAACCCAGAACAATTTGTTTAATAGTTTGTGTCCCATGTCTGCTCTCTAAAATACACCTTTTGCTTAGCAGAGGACAAAACTCCAAGGACACAGGAAAGCACAGACCACCACTGTGAGGGCAATTTCACATGCCTCCAGACGTACTTGAGTGGAATTGTTTCGATTATTATTCCTCTTCATCCCATATAAATTAAATTCAATTACGTAAATATCTTAAAGCCCTTGTGGGTTTTAAGGCTCTTTAAATGTTTTCACTCAAATAAATGCACCCTTTGTTTATTTCTTTTTCATTTTGTTTCTGTTACCCCACCTTTCTCTTCTTATTTCCCCAACTTTAGGAAGCGATTATGTATATTAGACCCTCTCTAGTCTGGGCCTTGTCTTCTGAAAGCCACAGAAATTCAATTTACTCAAGAAAGCAGCCATGTCTCCACTGGCAAAATTACAAGGCATATCTCTGTACTCGTTCCTCCAAGTGTGAAATTCTACCTGTTAGAACCCAACCTGAACTACCCAGGGTAAAGGCAAAGTGATTCATCTTCAGCTCATTCCAGCCTTGCTACCCAGTGAGGGAATGTCTTCATGTTACTCCACCACCAGGTAATCTGAGCAAAACTTTGTTGTTTTCTAAGTCTCTTATTTCCTTTAAGAACAAAGGAAAATAATTCCACTCTTACTTTTTTTTTTTTTCCAGGACATAATTCTGAAACACACACGCATTCATTAGGCAGATATTTACTCAGTAGCATGTCAGGTGTTGGTAGTGGAAGGCACAAAAAAAAAGGGAATTTTTTTTTTTTCCAGCAAATGTATATAACTACAGATCAGGGGAGGGGTTCAGAAGAAAGTCCAAACAGTTCTATGGAAATGACTTGCCAGAGGAGTTGGGTCAATGGGCATGTCTGTGAGGGGTTATCTTAGTTATGCTGATTGATATGGGAAGACCCATCTTTAGTTGTGGGTTGAACCAGCCCTTGAGCTGGGGATCCTCGATTTTATACGATGGAGGAAGCAAGCTGAACACACCAGCATGGTTTCATCCTCTGTTTTCTGACTGTGGATATGACATGACTTCTCTGCTGTGGACTGTATCTTGAACCAGAAGTGAAATAAACTCTTTCTTCCTTTATGGCTTTTGTTAGAGAATTTTATAACAGCAACAGGAAAAGAAACTTAAGACCGAAATTGCAGAGCAGAAGTGGGGCTGTTGCTGTGTTTAACATGGCCATGCGGTTCTTAGACCTGGAAGTGTTTTGTGGCTGGAATGTAAAAGAGTTTACAGTGTCTGTAAACAGCGCTCAATTGGCCATTGGGGGGGGGGGGGCTGAGAGACAA